TCAGGCTTAATTTGGGGAACTGGAGCACAGATCCAATTCCCTAAATCAAGAGCCCCTCACCAACATCAAGGAACCTTCCTTGAGGGGAGAGAGAGAGAGAGAGAGAGAAGGGAGAGCTCTTAGACATATAGATTACATTCAGGTGCCTGATTCAACCCCTCTGTCTGCTGACAGCTCTGCGTGCAGGGGTCATCGTTTATTCATCTCAGAGAGGTCTGCAGAGCTCACGCTCTCTGCCTCATCCTCCTGCAGAGTTACTCACAAAGCTGTATCAGAGCTTACGCTCCTTTGCTCTCCTGCAGTTACACGCTGTCTCATCACCGTAATATTGACTCCTGTGATACTTTTAAAGGGGTAGAGGGGTAAGTCAGTGGAAGGCCTCTATCAGATGGCCAAAAGCTCCAGCTGCGGGTCGCCATATGACTAAGATCCACATCAGGGAACACTTGTCCTGTTTCCTGACAAACTTTACCTAACCTAATCTGTTCTCTCTTCATCAAGAAATGTGAGATTGACTAAAACAGCATCACCCCGTGCTCGTAGAAAGTTGCAGCACTGTTGTAGCTGTTAAACAGGTAGAAATAGTGATAACAATAGCAGCACCCATAGTCATACTGGTGGTGAACCGGTAACGTGAAATCCTCGTGTTGTCTATTGGTTTGAAACCCTATTGACCAACCAGTAGGAAAAGTAGCGCCATAGGAGCAGTAGTAGCATCAGTAGTATTAGCAGCATCAATAATGCCAGCAGCATTTAACAGCAGTCTGTGAAACCACTAGCATTAATAATATCAGCAGCATTAACAGCAGTCTTGGCAGCAGCACAGGCTGTACTGGGTACCAGTAGTCTTCATGGAGACAGTAACTTACGTCTACCTATTTCTTTATTGACTTCCTCCTATCAATAAATATTCTGGCCTCCTTCTCCAGTCCTTCCCACCCGCCTCACCGTCTCATTTAATACCGCCATTTGACCTCCAGCACAAGTTATTTCCCTCAATTTCGGCTTCTTGGCATGCGATCGTTCTTCTGTCAACAAAGAAAATTTGGCTGAATCTGTAGCGGCGCAGGCGAGGCCTTGTGTGTGTGTGTGTGTGTGTGTGTGTGTGTGTGTGTGTGTGTGTGTGAACAGCAGATAAAGCACAAACTAATGTATGTTCGTGTGAATGCAAGTTAAAAATAATGCTTATTCGTGTAAGCCTTCCCCACCAAAGCTGACTCATTTTTATGCGGTGAAAGATGCTGTAGTTTGTGTAAGAAGACTGTTGTTATATTATTATTATTATTATTATTATTATTATTATTATTAGTAGTAGTAGTAGTAGTAGTAGTAGTAGTAGTACTAGTGCTAGAAATAGTATTAGTAGTAATAGTAATCGTAGTAGTAGTAAGCGGTGAGGATATTTTCTATTGCATCAATATTTCGGTGCTGTGATGGTAATGGGTTTAGGTATTTTGCTCCGACAATTAGGCCTTATAAATGTGTATTTTCTTGTAAGCTATGAACTTTACCCTAACTTTACTGATTTTTAGAATAACAATAATAATAATAATAAAATAATAATAATATAATTTAAACGTTGAATCCATAAGGCCATACAGCGCTTCGGGGAGGGATGTGTGACAGTAGGTCTGTGCGATGGTTAGAGTGAGGGGGTAGGAGTGTGTGGGAGGGAGGGGTGTGTGGGAGGGAGGGGTGTGGGGGGAGGGGTGTGTGGGAGGGAGGGGTGTGGGAGGGAGGGGTGTGTAGGAGGGGTGGGGGGGGAGGGTGTGTGGTGGGAGTGGGGAGGGGTGTGTGGGGGGAGGGGTGTGTGGGAGGGAGGGGTGTGTGGGAGGAGAGGGGTGTGTGGGAGGGAGGGGTGTGGGGGAGGGAGGGTGTGTGTGGGAGGGAGGGGTGTGTGGGAGGAGGGGGTGTGGGAGGGAGGGTGTGTGGGGAGGGGTGGTGGGAGGGAGGGGTGTGTGGGAGGGAGGGGTGTGTGGGAGGGAGGGGTGTGTGGGGGAGGGGTGTGTGGGAGGGGAGGGGTTGTGGGGAGGGAGGGGTGTGTGGGAGGGGAGGGTGTGTGGGAGGGAGGGTGTGTGGGGGGAGGGGTGTGTGGGAGGGGAGGGGTGTGTGTGGGGAGGGAGGGGTGTGTGGGAGGGAGGGGTGTGGGGAGGGAGGGGTGTGGGGGGAGGGAGGGGTGTGGGGGAGGGAGGGGTGTGGGGGGGGGAGGGGGTGTGTGGGTGGGGAGGGGTGGGGGGGGAGGGAGAGGTGGGGGGAGGTGAGGGAGGAGTGTGTGGGAGGGGGGGTGTGTGGGAGGGAGGGGTGTGTGGGAGGGAGGGGTGTGGGGGAGGGAGGGGTGTGGGGGAGGGAGGGGTGTGGGGGAAGGAGGGGTGTGTGGGTGGGAGGGGTGTGGGGGAGGGAGGGGTGTGTGGGAGGGTGTGTGGGGGAGGGAGGGGTGTGTGGGTGGGAGGGGTGTGGGGGAGGTGGGGAGGGAGGGTTTGTGGAAGTAGATGTTAGTATAAGAGTAAAATTAAAACAAAGTTGGTCCAGTAAGTGTGTTTGCGCCCAGCCACACTTTAACTGACCACCTCGCTGAAAGTCCCTCTGATGGAGAGCTGTAGAGTGGTAAACTTTAAGTGACAATATTGACCCAGATTTCTTTGGACATAGCATCGACCCCCTTAGTAGAGAGCACCGATTTCGGAGTTTTGATTTGAGTCATGGTCGAAAAATCTTTTATTTTGAAGCCGTGATTTATAAGTCAGTCCTGATTTTGAAGATCCGGTGTGGGAGTCCTGAGGAACCTAAATTTGCAACAGCCTGAGTACTGACAGAGACTGGATGGTGAATATTGCTTTTCCATCCACACGTTCAGGACCTTTGACTCCCTAATATTATTGACCTAAGCAGTCAATAAGTCACTCAGGGGAGGCCCCCCGCCACGCTATGTGCTCCTTCCCTCCCTCCCCCACACACAAAGGGGCAGCTACTCTCTCGTGGTTGTGGTGCGTGGTTGAAGGAAGTTATAGTGAAGTGGTAAGTGGTTTTCCAGGAAATTGGAAGCACTTTGTTTCTTTCTATACGAAATGACCCAATATTTATGATTTATTACTTATATAATGCATACAACACTTGTTTACTGCGATTATTTGGAAGTAATCAGAGAAGTAGGAAATTAGACAGGAACAGAGAGAGAGAGAGAGAGAGAGGAGAGAGAGAGAGAGAGAGAGAGAGAGAGAGAGAGCGAGAGAGATACCTCCTGTGTCTTTCTCCGGTAAAGAGGTGTTTGTTCAAAATTACAGTATGCACAGAATGTTTGTTGTACGTTTATTGTTAGAGCATTTATAAGAGAAATGGAGACAGAAACGATATACAAGCACTATTAAGACTAACATTTAAGGAGGACAACATTGACACTGGAGAGTCCTGCACCAGCTCTGCAACACTCTGCAGAGTCCTGCACTAGTACTGCAACACTCTGCAGAGTCCTGCGCTAGCACTGCAACACTCTGCAGAGTCCTGCACCAGTTCTGCACTAACCAGGTGACTGCAGAAACGGCTAGAGACTTCTGTGCCTGCAGGAGCACTCGAAAGTTCGCAGGGAGACATCAGTGACCCCAGGAAGATACCATGACCCCAGGGAGACACCAGTGACCCCAGGGAGATACCAGTGCCCTAAGGGAGATACCAATGACCCCAGGGAGAAATGGAGACTTGAGTCAGACGATAGGAATCATGTGGACGCTGCTGCCACCGCTCACGTAAACCAGGACAAGTCTCGACAGGCGAAGTCACGCGGTTATTATGTCACGCCAAGGTGATGTCAAGCACCAGGGTGAAGTCACACCTTCTATGTTCCCCAGGCGTGAATTCACTGAAGTGTGCCTAACCCAGGATAGCCCAAGAGAGACAAGCAGTGGTTGCTTATTTCCGACGAGATCCTTAATTCTTCAAATTCAGGACGTGGCTCGGGCATCACTCACTGCCTCCTGGGTAGCTGTTTACTGCTGGACGCACTGGAACAGCAAGGGGTTAGGAGACGTAACATTATGTTTAGCCTCACCCCGAATTCGAACCGGGGTTCTTTCGGGAACATATTTGTGGCTTTTCATATTACTCCGTGGTTTACAACAGTGGAGGTTCAACGAGCCTCTTGGAAGGTTCTCACGACTACTGTAATACACACTGCTGTATCCCTCAGTGTGACCCACACCACATGGGTGACCCATACCTGTAGGTAGCCCGTGTCACACCCTTGGGTGACCCACATCACACCTATGGGCTAAAGGGAAGTAACAGATAAAACAGAATAACATATAAAACAGAAGTAAGCGCCTGTTGACTGAAGGAAGGGTAGGATAGCTCCAGTTCCTCGGACCATGGCATCCCCTAGAAGGGAGCTGTGGTCTGGACTATCATTACCTGCGTCACTCTCACATAAACAACCCCTGTGTCCAGTCCTCCTCTGTAATAAGTTGAATTAAAACGTCGCAAAATTACGTTTACGCTGAGAATCAATTTGTCAATTAATTTAGCAAGGGTGTGACGAGAGGGGTGTAAAGGTGAGAGTACTGGGGTGTGGGAGTGCGTGGTAGGATCTGTGGGGGGTGTAGGAGTGCGTTGTAGAATCTGTTAGGATGTAAGATTTCTTAGTAGGATCTGTTGGGGATGTAAGAGAGTATGGTAGGATCTGTTGTGGGTGTAGGAGTGTATGGTAGGATCCGATAGAGCTGTAGGATTGCATTATAGGTTCTGATGGTATGAAGGCTTGTGTTGTAGTGCTGGTCAGTATATAAGGGTGTACAGTTTGATCCTTCAAGATAAAGTGGTGTATAGTATGATTAAGCCGGATGCAGCAGTGTATGATGTATGATTCTTGTATTTGGCAGAACTGGAGAACGTAGCGTGGGTGGACGTGGGAGTTTGTTTAGTGTGTAAGGGCGGGTTTGTGGCTCGGGCGGGGAGGATGTTAAGTGGTTATGGGCGGGGTTGTAGCGGTGTGGGCGTTGCTATGACAACCACATCAACACTAGCTCCACCTGAGTTGAGGAGAGATAGAGGTAGCTGCCTCAGTTGACTCTCTTACTGAGTGCCACGCTGGTGCTGGTCCACACCTGGCCCACACTTGGCCCACACCACCTCCCACCTCACACACACATGCACGCACGCACGGACACCCACACGCACTCACGGACGCATATGTACGCCCGGACACGTGGATGCTGGTTCTGCAAGCCTCCCATGGATCTTTCCTCTCCTGCTACTGCTTCTGAGGTGACTGCAAGACACGTGAGGTTGGGAGCGTCCTGCATCTAAAGAACAAGTAAATACTGAGGAAATGGTGGTTAGCAAGTTACACACGCAGTTTGAAGAGTGGGTATGAGAGGGCCCAGAAGTGCTGTGTGAACGTCTTGGGGGCACTGGAGAAACGGGACCAGGAACTAGAACTCAACCGAGCCTAACCACAGTTAAGTGAGTGCACACACACGTACACACATCTGGCTGATGGTAGTAAATATTTGAGCAAAGGATCCTTTTGAATATGCATATATTATATATATATATATTATATATATATATATTTATATTTATATATATTACTATATTTATATTATATATATATATTATTTATATATATATATTAAGAGGACCAGCAAATTTAATTTACTGAATTATTAAAAAATCTTTGATTGTAACTGTCGCTGATTTTATTATTATTATTATTATTATTATTATTATTATTATATTATTATTATTATTATTATTTACTAATTTTAGTAGTAGTAATACTGATAATGTACTTCTCTCTCTCTCTCTCTCTCTCTCTCTCTCTCTCTCTCTCTCTCTCTCTCTCTCTCTCTCTCTCTCTCTCTCTCTCTCTCTCTCTCTTTCTCTCAGGAAAATTATGATTATAATCATCATGCAGTAATTACCAGGACAAATGAAGACATTAATTATTTTAAGGGGGTCACGCTGTTCCCTGTTATCTTAATTACTGCAGGTCCTGGGGTAGACCTTCTTGTTATAGCATGTTATCTTGGGCAGACATCCTTGTTATAGCATGTTATCTTAGGCAGACATACTTATTTAGCCTCTTGGGGAATATCCCATGTTATAGCCTGTTATCTTGGAAATACTCCATGTTATAGCCTGTTATCTTGTAAATAATCCATGTTATAGCCTGTTATCTTGTAAATAATCCATGTTATAGCCTGTTATCTTGTAAATAATCCATGTTATAGCCTGTTATCTTGGAAATAATCCATGTTATAGCCTGTTATCTTGGAAATAATCCATGTTATAGCCTGTTATCTTGGAAATAATCCATGTTATAGCCTGTTATCTTGTAAATAATCCATGTTATAGCCTGTTATCTTGTAAATAATCCATGTTATAGCCTGTTATCTTGTAAATAATCCATGTTATAGCCTTTTATCTTGGAAATACTCCATGTTATAGCCTGTTATCTTGTAAATAATCCATGTTATAGCCTGTTATCTTGTAAATAATCCATGTTATAGCCTGTTATCTTGGAAATAATCCATGTTATAGCCTGTTATCTTGTAAATAATCCATGTTATAGCCTGTTATCTTGTAAATAATCCATGTTATAGCTGTTATCTTGTAAATAATCATGTTATAGCATGTTATCTTGTAAATAATCCATGTTATAGCCTGTTATCTTGTAAATACTCCATGTTATAGCCTGTTATCTTGTAAATAATCCTTGTTATAGCTGTTATCTTGTAAATACTCCATGTTAAGCTGTTATCTTGTAAATACTCATGTTTAGCCTGTTATCTTGTAAATACTCCATGTTATAGCCTGTTATCTTGTAAATACTCCATGTTATAGCCTGTTATCTTGTAAATACTCCATGTTATAGCCTGTTATCTTGTAAATACTCCATGTTATAGCCTGTTATCTTGCACAAACCTCCCTTGTAAAAGTCTTTTATCTTAGGGAAAAATTCTCTTCTGAGGCTTGTTATCATATAGGAAAATTATTATTATTATTATTATTATTATTATTATTATTATTATTATTATTATTATATTTTTCATGACAAAAATAATTTCGTGTATAATTCCTCAAAACAGTCATTATTTATTATTATTATTATTATTATTATTATTATTATGATTATTATTATTATTATTATTTTCGTGACAAAAAATAATTCCAGAGTCGTGTATAATCCGTAACAAAACTGAATCAGAAAAATTATACTAATTTAACTTGAAACTATATACAAACAACAGTGACTCAAAATTATAGATGATGATGATAATTAGTCTCAGCAATCTCTCATTAGAAGGAGATTAATTATGGAGATTAATTATATCTTCGTTATTAAGCGAGAGTCACAATGCGAGGAGGCAAGACGCTTTTCTGGCATAGTTTGTTGAGTGGGCGAAACATCGCTCTCTGGGACACACTCGTTTTCCTATTTGCATTAAACGTGTTATAATATTGTTGTAACATTGATAGAATATTGATATAACAATGGTCTATGATTAGTATAACAGTAATTTAAGATTATTATAACAATGCTCCAAGATTATTATAACAATGGTCTAAGATTATTATAACAATGCTCCAAGATTATTATAACAATGGTCTAAGATTAATGTTATGTCAGTTTATAGTGTGGTACATATAAGTTAAAAATATACCAAATAACAGATAAAATTCTTATATATGAATATTATAGAGGAAAGTAGCAGCATCAGGATACTCCAGACACATATTGTTACAAAAGAGGAGTCGCAGGTTGGAAAGGGAGAGATGTGTCTTCTGTAAGCGAAGACGACGAATAACTGAACTCAGAGGCTAGAGATCTCTCAGAAGAGCGAACACTGGCTAGATGTTTAGTGTATGGGACAGAGAGAGCTAGAAGCCGTAAGTGAAATTGAGGACAAATCCAAAAGTCTCTTCCTCATATGCAAAAATTAGGTCAAAACAATATCTAGTATCGGAGTCTTTGATGAGAGGAGTGGAACATACACTAACGACAATAACAAATGAGTGAGTACTTAGGCCCAGTACGACTCGGTGTTCAGTGAACCACTAATCTGCCTAAAGACTGACGATTGAAGTGAGTTCTTCATGAACGAGACACAAAATGCTGCGGAATCTCCCTAATCCCTGACCTCACTTGACTACGAAGAAGCCATTGATTGCACGAGCATGCACTCCACCGTCCAAGACTCATGAAGTCGATATTCATCAAGAATTGCAGGGGCACCCTTATCACATGCCTTAAATATTTATAAGGAGAAGGTTGGCCAATAGAGTCATCCCAAATTCATTAAAAACCACTGACATCTCGCCACTCTACAAGGTTTCAGTAAGATATTACCCAAAAAAAAAGGACCCGTAGCCCTATATTCCACATTATCAAGATGTTTGAAAAGGTTTTAAGAAGTAAGATTACCAATCACATGGAATCGCAGCATTTGTACATGGTCTTGGATGCACTTAAAGAAAGCATAATGCAGATGTAGTAAACACTGACTTTGTAAAAGCCTTTGACAAGTGCTTTGATGGGGTAATTTTTCACAAAATGCGTGCAAAGGGTGGGAACGTGGGCGTGGATATTAAATTTCATAACAAAGAGAACCCAAAGAGTAAACAATGAAATCAGAGCCTGATACAACGAAAAGTTCTGTCCCTGAAGACACAGTACTCGCCTTACTTCTCTTTTTCAGTTTAATATCGGGCACAGACAGGGAAACAAAATCATACCACTGTATCATTCTTTCACCAACCTCGAATTTGTAAGAAATATCATCCACGGGACACAACGAGCCTAAAGCAATTAAACAAGTCTTCAGCGGGTCACTGACAACAATATTGATGTTCATTGAGGAAAATTCAATTTCCCTGTCTGGAAGACCGAGGAAATGAAAACAGGACTGGGTTTACAAAAAACTCAACCCTCTGACTTTTGGGAAATCCTGGCTGGTGGCTGTTATTATAGGAAAACCTTGCTGGTGACTGTTATCTTAGGGAAACTCTTGGCTGGTGACTGTTATCTTAGGGAAACCTTGGTGGTGATGTTTTCTTAGGAAAACCCTTGGTGGTGATGTTAATCTTAGGAAACCTTTGGCTGTGACTGTTATCTTAGGGAAACTCTTGGCTGGTGCTGTATTTAGGGAAAACCCTCTACTGGTGACTTTTAAATCTTGGAAAACCTCCTGATGGTACTGTTATTTTGAAATGATCCTGACTGGTGATTTTTATCTTAGGGAAACCTGGCTGGAGCCGTTGTCTTAGGGTAACCTGGTGTAACCTGTTATCTTTATTAAGGGGGAAACGATCCTGCTGAACTGTATCTTCGGAAGCACTTTTGCTGAACCTTTTTCTTAGGGAACCTTAAGTTAACCTGCTATTTTGGGGAAAACCCTTATGTTAACCTTAATAAAAACCTTAAGTTAAGCTGTTATTTTGAAAAAAACCTTAAGTTAACCGTTATCTTGAAAAAAACCCTTATGTTAACCTTATCTTGGGGGAAAACCCTTAAGTTAACCTTAAGGAAACCTTAAGTAAGCTGTTTATCTTGAAAGAAACCTAAGTTAAACCTGTTATCTTGGGGAAACCTTAAGTTACCTGTATTTGAGGGAAACCTTAATTTAAACCCGTTATCTTGGTGAAACCTTTGTTACCTTAAAAACCTTAAGCTGTTATTTGTAAAGAAACCTTAAGTTAACCTGTTTCTTTGTGGAAACCTTAAGTTAACCCGTTATCTTGTGTGGAAACCTTAAGTTAACCTGTTATCTTGTGTGAAACCTTAAGTTAACCTGTTATCTTGTGTAAAACCTAAAGTTAACCTGTTATCTTGCTAGTGCGTTATCCTTAATAACATTTCTGGAACTTGTTATATCAATATTCATTTTCTTTACAAAATATAGCGAGGAAGTCAGCCTTTACCTCCAGGAAAAAAAAATAATCAACAATGTTTTAGTCATAATAAAGTTGATCCGAGGTGGGAAAGGAAACTCAATAAACACAATGCAAAAGGCGCTCCATGCCACAGATTAATAAGTTAAAATTTTGCGTGAAAAATTTTGAAAAAAACAAAAAAAAAAAAAAAAAATAAAAGATATATATAAAATATAAAATTATTATCTATATATATATATATATATTTTATATATATAATTATATATAAATATATAACTGCAGGAGGGTCGGATCTATGATTGATGTGGTCATGATGTGGGTGTGGGTGCGGATGCGAGGGCGTGGCTCTTGACAGGTGTGGGTGGACAAAACAAGGGGCGTGGATAAATGCATGTGGGGGTGGGGTGTGAGGGTGGGAGTGGCGGAGTGGGGTACGAGGAGTGGGTTTAAGGGTGGGCGTGATGTGTGGGATCTAAGGGGTGGGGTGTGAGGCGTGGGACTCAAGGGTGGGGTGTGAGGCGTGGGGTCTAAGGAGTGGTACCTCGGTGAGGGGACCCGGAGTGGGT